TGCAGTTCGACAAGGTGAAAGTTGGCTACATCCAGAAGAACTAGCGAAGGAATGCGACACTTATTTCATCGCAAAAGGTAAATCTTTTGATGACATAAGAGGTGAAAAACGCGCTAATTTTCGGGATTCATACAACAAAAACTCTAAATATATTCCACCAGCGCTAAGAAAAGATTTAGTGGTAAATGAACAGAAACATTCGTTTAAACCGTGAGAATGTTATGTGTGTAGTAGCAGTTTACATTTGGCTAAGGATTGCCCGAACAGGCGAAATAAATTTGAGAGGTCCAATAAACAGAACGAAAATTTCCCGGTCAAACCGAAAGTTAACACTTCAAGTAAGTCGAAGGACAATGCGGTTGTTACAAATGTAAATTCTAAACATTTACAAAAACCCGAGTGTTCCGACGGAAAACTTATTTTATTTTTATTCCTTGGAAAAGATTTACTATTTACATTGCAGGAAATCAAGTAGAAGCTATAAAAGATTCAGGTACGGAAATACCAATTTTTGAACACTACATTAATTCCTGATTTAAAAATAGAAAGTAAGGGTAAAATCATTTTAAGTTCCGCATTTGGCGACGTCATAGAGGCAACGTTAGCAACTAATATTCCCATTTATTACAAAAAACAAAACAGTTGTCTATATTCGCGCGTAGAAGCTCTCTTTTCGCGTTGACAGATAAGCTAAATGTCCAATGTTTAATTACAACCAGATGTATGGGATCGCATATTTGAAGACGAGAATGAATCAACAGTCTTCCCCGAGACGAAACCGGAAACTCATAAACAAAAAACAACTTGAGGTTGGCGCCGTTTGAACTGTCAAATGTAAATCTTTTTTATAGCTCAGTTGCGAATCAGAATGATGAAAGACTAAACAGTTATTCGGAATCGAATAAATTTAAGGTCGATCAGAGAAACTGCCAAAACGTTAAAGGACGCAGAAGTAGGGAAGAATAATTTCTTTTACAGGACGAATTATTATTTCATAAAGAAAAAATTTGTGGGGAAAACATACAAACAGTTAGTTTTGCCCGAGAATTATCGAAATAAAGTCCTTCAATTAGCTCATGATTCCATATTCGGAAAATTATTTAGGTATGAGGAAAACTAAAGAAAGAATTAAGCTTTTTTCATTTTATTGGCCGAACATATCCAAAGATGTAGAAAATTATTGTAGAACATGCGAAAGATGTCAATTAAAAAGTCCGGAAAGACAATCGGATAAAATTCCGATTAACTCCTATTGTTCGCGCGCCATATCCCTTTCATACAGTAAATATAGATATTATTGGTGAAATTTCACCTCCTTCAGGAAAGGAAACATAAATATTGTTTGTTCAAAATGATAAATAATAAAATGATAAATAAGATAATCATTCAAAATGGCCAGAAGTCATACCTTTAAAAAGTCTTCTTTCTGCTAAAGCTACTTGTGAGGCTCTTTTAGATATTTTTATGAGAACCGGTATTGAAGAATAATTTGTAGCGATCAAGGCACTAATTTTACCTCACAATTAACTCAAGAATTCGAAAAAAGGTTAGGAAACTCATCCTCGTTTTTCGACACCTGGTTACCCAGCATCAAACGGCTCAGTGGAAAAATGGAATCGGGTATTTAAAACAAATGTTACATCATGTAATTCGCACAGATCCTGTTAATTGGGACAAGCACATACCTTATTTACTTTTTGCGTATCGTGAAGTTCCAAATTGCCACTACTGGTGTATCTCTCGTCTCTCCGTTTATTTATGCTTATGTACGGTCGTGAAGCTAGAGGTCCCTTAGCTGTGTTAAAATCATCATGGTCCGGTGAAATACCATTACCATTACCTCTTAATCTGAGTAATTCAGCAGTTGATTATCTACAAGAATTAAAGATAAATTTAGAGAAAGCATTTGAGCTCGCTTCTTTATCTGCCGCGGAAAAACAAGAAGCTTATGCATATTTATTTTAACCGTCGCAAAAGTTTGAAAGAATTTAAAAATGGTGATCTAGTATATTTACTTATACCAGACTTTAGCAACAAGCTATATGCTAGGTGGACAGGTCCAGGTGAAATTGTTGAAAGAGTGAATCTTCATTCTTACAAAGTTAAAATTACCCCGATGGGAGTGTGAGGCATGTTCATGTGAACAAAAAATAAGAAATTTTATGTTCGAGCACAAACTGTGGGAGTGATATTTGAAGATGATTCTGAGTTTGGGGAAATTCATATACCACTCCAAATAAAGGAGATTGCGCAGTAACTAGAAGGAACATCGAGGTGGATATTAGTCATTTAGAGGATAGCAAACAAAAGGAATTACACGAGCTCTTACTCAAGCACATCGCGTTATTTTCTGGGGAGATCCAAATAGCCAGCGTTGGTGAACATAGAATTCGGTTGTTACCTGGAGCTGAAAGAAAAAAAGCCATATATCTGTAAGATCCCAGAATCTTTGAAACCTGAAGTAGATAAACAGATCGAGGAATTGGAGAGCTTGAGTCTTATTGAGCCAAGTGAAGCTGAAATAGCATACCCGGTCATATGTGTTGCCAAGAAAGACGGAAGTATGAGGTTATGTATTGATTTCAGGTTGTTGAATCAAGTAACCAAGCCTGTTGATTTTCCAATGGAGAATGTGACTGATCTAATCAATAAAATTGGACACGCGAATGTTATCACCTGTTTAGATGTCTTGAAAGGTTACTGGGAAATACCGTTAGAAGAAGAAAGTCGTGATTTAACATCATTCAAGACACATCGTTCCCAGTATCGTTGGAAAGTGATGCCTTTTGGATTAAAAAATGCAGCTTCTTCTACTTTTTTCAGCGAGTGATGAATGATGCCTTAAGAAAACATAGTGATTTTTTGCAAAGATATATTGATGATATTGCTATCTTTTCACCAGATTGGAATTCGCATCTCAAACATTTAGATGCTGTGCTAACTACATTAAGTGATCTCAGGTTTACGGTGAACGTGAAGAAATGTGTTTTTGCACGTTCGGAGATAAAGTATTTAGGACATATAATAGGAGCTGGAAGACATCAACCTGATCCTGAAAAATTACAAGCCATTGAAATTATAAAAAGTCCCAAAACAAAGACTGTTCTAAAGAGTGCATTAGGCTTATTCAAGTATTATCGTGATTACATAAAGAATTATGCAGAAATAGCTCGCCCATTGACGGAGCTTACGAAAAAGAAAATTCCTGAGATAAATTCCATGGACTGATGTTGAGGAAATCAGCATTTAAAGAACTGAAAAACGTCGACTGTGTGAAGCACCAAAACTGTACACTTACACTGCCAGAACCAGAAAAAACCTTACACCACACAACGTGTGATGCTAGTTCATATGGTGTTGGTGCTTGCTTGTCACAACGAGACAGCAAAGGCAAGTTTGCATCCTATCAAGCTTTGCCAGTCAAAAACTTTCGAAAACTCAGCAGAACTGGTCAACTATTGAAACGCGAGGCTTATGCCGTTGTGTGGTCATTAAAAAAGTTCGAGTGTTGGGTGTTTGGATCGAATATATCGAGCTGATCACAGACCATAATCCATTATTATATTTTTTATAAGTCGGCAACCGCATTCAGCCAAATTACAGAGGTGGGCAATGGCACTTCAAGCGTTATTAATATTCATATTTCTCATTGTCCTGGTGCACAATTAAAAAATGCAGATGGTCTTTCAAGGCTAGTGGGTGAATGAAATAGGTGTGAACTAAGTATGAAAACTAATATGTTTTAAAACTTTGCATTAGTTAATTTCTTTTGTTCCGGAATTGTACGAGAGCTACTTTCCATCTGTTTTGAAAATCAAATTACTGGTTTCCATTTAATATTGGCATTATAATAGTGTGTTTTGAAATAGTATTGCATATGTTTATTACAGAACTCCGGTATTGTATCAAGCCATCTGTTCATCTGTTGTGAGAGATGAATGTTTATTGCATTTTATTTCAAAGTTTGTTATTACATCATGTATACATGTTCATATATTTTGAATTAATTTGGTATGTGGAGTATACACAATTTAAGTTTGTATTTGCTGGTTCAGTTTTCAGATTCTGCTTCGCTTTGGCGTAGCACAATCTTACCGGGGGGGTGTCATGTATCTGGCAGCGGTGAGCCAATCAGCTGCCTGGCAGAGCCCAGCAAGTAAGAGAGAGGACGGTGGCATGTTAGCCTCAGAGGAGGCAGGTTGTAGGTTAATTATGTTGTAGGAGCGAGGTAGTGCTCCGAGTTTGCCTTTATTCTTTAAATGTTAATTTTTTTTCATTATTCTTTGAAAATTAATTTTTAATAAATTTTGGTGTTGTTTTCCTTATTGTGCCTTTTTAATCCGCAAGGTCATTACACATTGCATATGCCGATCTGACTGATTACATTATAAACCTTGAAGGACATTTCACTGCCTTTTTAGCTGTTTATTATACAAATACTGCAGGCCGTATTGTCATTGTGTAAAATTTTTCAAATGGCCATAATCTTAAGCTGAATAACTACGGACGGCAAGGTCTGTAGTGTTAAATCTACCTGAATATTATTTCGTTAATTGTTAAATCGTTATTTCATTAGCGTTAAATCTACCTGAATATTATTCTCGCCTTTAAATTAAATCTGACTCCATTCTATAACATTTGAAAAGAAATATTTTAGATAAACAGTAACATTTTCTTGCTTAAGAAAGTCGAAACTTTATTTGCTTACACACTTAAGAAAATCAAAACATTATTCTAATCTTTCTTACTGTTGCCAGACTACAAAAACAAAATCTGTCTAAAAAGGAACACAACGGCGGTTGAATATCGTTAACAAATATAAATCATGGAGCTCACAACTTACTCCCACCTTTTGATTTTCTTACAATTGTCTATGAAAATCAAAACATTAAATACAAAATTTAAACTTTCTACTCAATAGATTTGCATATAATACTCAATATACTCACAAACATGTTGTGTTAAGTTAAATAATAATACAGAACATATACTTAAAAAACTCACTTATAACGAGAAGGTTTGACTTTATGAGAAACAGTTGGCTCGAAATTTCGTTCAAGTTCTTTAGCTCTAAGTAAAATGTTCAGATTAGTAATCTCGAAAGGGTATAACCGTTGGACAGGGCGTATGAGTTCTCCTACTTCTGTTTGTACTTTCACTACTCTCACATGATTGTTCTTTCCAGGAAAGAGCTCCGTGACTATAACCAAAGGCCAGAATATTCGTTTTTTATTATCACATCCAACCAGAACAACTTCACCGACACTTATCTGTTTCAGACTGTTCTTATTGATATTCTGCTGAATTAAAAGACCTAAATATTCTTTCCTAATTCTTCTTCTTAACTCTTGCCATAGCTTTTGTTGATGCCGGTATCTTTTGGTCAAATTAATATTGTCCAAGTTATCTAAGTCTGGTACTCTTATTGTCTTATTATCTTGAAGAAGCATGGAAGGTGTTAACGGCATTAAATCTTGTGCATCTTCGAATAAGTACGTTAAGGGTCGACAATTGATGACCACTTCCGTATCATACAAAACAGTGTACATTTCCTCATATTTTAAGGAGGCTTTTCCTAGTAATCTTCTTAAAAGATTCTTAATCATCTGAACTATCCGCTCCCACCAACCACCCCACCAGGCAGCTTTAAGAGAGTTAAAAATCCATTGGATCCTCATTGCGCAACTTCCTTCACATATCTAATCCCAGTCAAGGGACTCCAATGAGTTACTAGTTCCCTTAAAGTTTGTCCCATTATCGCTGTACAGTTTTTTTAGGTTTGCCTCGTCTCGCTATAAATCTTCGTAATCCTAACAAAAAAGCATTGGTGTAAAGGCTTTGAATCAACTCCAGATGAATAGCTCTATACACAGCGCAAGTGAATAGCAGTATCCAACTCTTACTTCCATCCTTTAAGTGTAAAGGACCAGCTAAATCCCCTCCCGTAACTTCAAAAACGAATGCATCCCAAACTCTGTCTTCCGGCAGTGGAGCTGGTTCAGTTTCCATTTTCTTCGAAGAATATCTTCTGCACCTAAAACATTTTGTGATAACTCTTTGAATTGTCTTCCTTCCTCTCAAAACCCAAACTCGTTGACGAATGTCAGCTAGAACAGCTTGTACTCCTCTATGTAGCAGATTCATGTGACGTTCATAAATTAATTGTTTCACCAATTCATGCTCTGAAGGCAAAACAATTGGATTTACGAAGTTTTCATCATCTTCCAGTCGAAAAATGTTTGTTTTTAGCCTAATCAATCCATCATCATCTAAGGAAATATTAAGGGTTTTTAATTTGTCACCAGTAGACTTTCCATTGAAAGCTTCCCTTTGAACAATTTTCATGAACATCTTTTCTGAATTTTCAATTTCTTGTGCAGACAGCTCTCCCTTCATTATATTCTCAGAAATTTAGTCGCAAAATCTTCGAGAAATTTAGTCGCAAAATCTTTCGCAAATCTAGGGGTATCTGCCTAAGGGGAGGGATGCCTTCGTGGAAGACTTTCTAAGGGAAACTGGTTCATATACACGTACACATGGGGAAAACACCCATGCAGCCAGCCCGTTCGCGGGATTCGAACCTCGCGACCGAACTACCAGTGTTCAGCGACTTTACCGCTCGGCCGCTGGTGGGCTAAGTAACAGAGGAAATGACAGCGTCACGTGCAGAGCAAGGGAAATGAACGTTTATATTATAAAAAGAATGCGTCGAAACTTTTTTTTTTGTCTGTATTCTCTTATATTCAGATACAATGTGTAAAACTATTTCATAATTGTAAAACTATTATAATAAGTTAAAGAAATATCAGAACTGCTAAAATGCCAAAACTGCTGCGATCCCCTTGGGGGTCGCTACCCTCAGTTTAAGAAACCCTTATCTAAGGTATACAGCACGAAATGCAAGTTCCAGTAGTGGAAAGAGATATTACATAATAAAAATACTAAATGTAATGGGATTTCCAAAAATATAAGAAGCATAAAGCAATTACAAATACAGCAAACATATATATCATAAAACAAAACTTTTAAAGAAAAATATAGCTTCAGTTTTCCATAACCACTGTGAGGTTCAGAATGGCAATAGGCCGGATTTTATGTTTTATATCTTTATAATCATAATTATAAATTCTCAGCTCAATGTTGCTGAAAGTTCTCATTTGATAGTCAAATATTTTGGCAAGGTGATAATAAAAGATTCTGAGTTTAACAATACGAAGTTCTTCATGAACTGTATTGCTCGTAGTGTACCAAATTGCATTTGTAATCTGTCTCAGAACGCAGTTCTGTGCAGTTTTCAGTTTTTTCCTATCTGTTTTATAAAAAAACGCCAAGATTGCCAGACATAACACAATATGGGCCGTAAAATGGATTTGTAAATAACTTATTATCAGTAGGTAGAACATCGTTTCAAGCAATTAAAGGCTGTAGTGTGGCTTCACGCACTCGAAACTTCGGGATAATTTAATGCATATTTGGGGACCATGAGAGAGAATTTGTGAGGATCACCCCGAGATAAAGGACTTGCTTGACCCACAACAGAGATGTTCCAGTTCCATAAAACTTCAGATGCTTGTTAACAGTCTTTTTACTGGTGAACATAATTGCAATTGTATTGTCAACATTAATTTGAATTTCCCACTTTAGGGGTCAGGCTCTAGTGCATGGATGTGGGTTTGTAAATGTTGCATGACTGGACTAAGGACTGCATTTTGAGCAACAATCGTTCTATTATCAGCATAAACTGCAAGCGTTGTGTTGGTTGTGGGAGGAACGTCGTTCACATAAATGTTAAAAAGTGTGAGACCGAGTAAGAACCCTTGCTGTAACGGTTACAGCAGTAACGACACGGCGAGATGACTGTTTATTTCAAATGTGAACAACAAAGTGTATACCTGTAAGGCATGATTTAAATATGTGCGTGTGATGTAATATGGGAATCCCAGGTTTTGGATCTTGTAAATGAGTGTGTTCATCCAAACATGATCGAAAGCCTTGGCCTATATCGATAAAAAGTCTACCAGTGAATTTTTTGTGGTACAACCCTTCAGCAATACATTCCACAACACGGTGAAGTTGATAGGAAGTCGACAGGTTCCTTCTGAATCCAACAGATGTGATGTGGTATGGAATCCAACAGATGTGTGTGGATGAATGTGATGTGGAATAAATATATTAATATATTGCTTCTGAACTTTTAGAACTAATGCCTCCCCTAATTTGTTCAGACAGGATAAAAGGCTGATAAGTCGGTAAGATCCCGGCTATGTAGTGTCAGACGATGTTGAATTTGTAACTTGACGTAACGGATTAAGCAGCTCGTGTTTCTTTTCGACCCTGGAACAATATCGAGAGCTTCGGCTCAGAAGAGCCGAAGCTTCTTCCCTATGATTGATAATTTGATGCCATATTCCTGCAGTCTCTGCATCCCTCTGGCTATTTGGCCTGCAGTATTCTTAAAATATAACAACCAGGCAAACGATGCAAAATCTGTATGGAGCAGGATCTTCTTGCCATACAGGTAATGATGGAAATGTTCTACAGTTGAACTCTTACGAGCAGCTCTTTTTTGGAACACAGTTTAATTCCTCTCAGGTTTAGATGGACATTTTCTCCAGTATGCTAAGACACATTCTTCACCGTTTATTTCTTGGGACAAAACAGCACCCACACTCTCATTGCCCGCATCCGTGGCAGAACTTCTCTCTGGCACTCTGGCACGCTGCGGCCGATGGTATAATATGTAAATACCCTATTTTTTTCGGCTAATATTTTGGAGCACATGCTGAAGTGATAAATATTATTTCAATATAGTCCCAAGTTTAAAATTACCTTTATAAATGTGTTTTGAAGTAGACAGTGGAAACCTCATTTCGCTCGCTCTAAATTACAAATTCCGTTTTGAATTTTTTCCTAAAATGCTTATGATCTTAAATTTTAATGTAATTGAAGACAAAAAAGAATATTAAAACTTTAAATTTTAATGTAATATAAATTAATGAAAATTAAATTCAGTGTTAATTAAAGAGAAGAGTATAGAAATTCCTGAGAAGTCAGTTTCTAATTATGTATATGCTAATGAAAGCCTTCACATAAGCTTTATTCCCCTGCCAAAATAAATAAATAAATAAATAAATAAAAAGAAAAAAAGTATGGAAATATGATAATAGAAAATAATTTTGTGTATGACCTCTGATGCATATGTTACTGCAATCTGAAAAGTCTGATTTTATGCTTTAATTTTGAAATCTCATTTTAATTGGTATTATAATTAGAAAATGCTTTCCACAAAGATACTGTTACAAATTTTATACATATGTAAATAATTGTTGTGAAATTATATGCAAAATTGTAGTATGTTTTGCATAATGTAATATGAAATGCCTCGAGAAAGCGAAGCTCCACCGAAAAATTAAGATTACAGGGGCAAGTTCATTTAAGGAAAATGGCTATCCCGCCAGTTGTCTAGTTAGTGCCAAGCTGGCAATGGTTTAGACAACTAATTTTCATGGCGAAATTTGGCGACAGATCACCAAATTTGGTCTAACCCTGTGTGTACTTATAACCCGTCCTATCACTATGTAACTGTGTATGCCTTCTAGCAAATTTCGAGAGATAGAAGGTACTAGAAATTTCTCGGCGGTAGGTGAGCGGTCTTAGCCGCGGACTTTCACCAGTAAGTGAGATGGCGTTGTTCGATTCCAAGCGAACTCACTTTTTTCCCTTGATCAGCAAATGGAGCCACCTGTGTCACCAGACTCAAAATTGCACTGATTTTTTTTCTGCTTCACAGATGAAAATGTGGCCTCTCTTCCTTTTCTATCTTTAATCTTTCTCCGTGGAATTCATCTAAGGAATTTTCACTTTTGTCATATCTATCTGTGACGCTCTGAGGAGCTGGAAAAATCTATTTAGTACAGCTATATGCCTGCCTAAACAATTAGTTCAAAGCTCAAAAAGTTCTCAGTTTTTAGTTCATAGTTGGGTTCGGAGTACTGAGAGATCTTCCGTGCTAGCCTTACTCTTTAGATGTTGCTACTGATTGTACTTTGTCATACTGAGAAGAGCTGTACTAACCCTTTTTGTAAAAATGGTCCAGAACTTAAGTTTCTCTTTTGGGATGTGCATTCAATCCATTACGAACCCGTGCGCACATAACAATGCATAAATCCAAATAAAAGTGCTTTATCCTGTATTGTTACATACTCATGATATTCATTTTCAGTATTAGCTGTTATTTTCTTATCTTGATCAGCGTATACCGAATAGTTGTTGGACGGCAGCGATAAAAGAATTAATCGCTCAGATCGTTGAACGTTTATGGCTATGTGAAGAAATTTAATTTTACGTAATTTAATTTACTCGTAATTCCGTTTCTACTCGGAAAACATGGTCATTTTCACAAACTACAGATACAAATAATATAAAATGTGGGGTTTTTGATATTATTGTTATTGACTCATGTTATTTCTCGGCGGTAGGCGAGCCAGCAAATTCACAATTCTGTACAGGAAATTCACAATAATTAAAAAAAAAAAAAAAAAAAAAAATTGTCTCTGCAATCTATTTTTTACATAATGTTTCGAGATTCACTAATTACATGAAGTATTTAGCGAATGTCAGTTACACATAAACATATACATATATATTTATTTTATGACCACAATATTTTACTACATTTTTATTACTTTTTTTATTAAATTATGTCTTTCTTTCTAGAAGGCAAATCCCAACAGTGTTGCCAGATCGTGCGATTTTTCGCAAATTTGCGACTTTTAACAAACTTGTGCTGCTAAAATTTTAGTATGTGCGATTTTGCGAAATTTTTGCTGCCTCCATCATATTTTTATTCTACTTTTTGCGACTTCAAAGATTTCTTTTAATATATCGTGAAAAGCTTTGTAAAACACAGAATTATGTACCTTTATACTAATCATTATGATTTTAGTGCTCGACAAATTTTGTTTTTAAGACTGTCCCCCCCCACCACACTCTTCTATGGTGATAAGGAATAGAACAGAAAACTTGCAGGTGCGCGTAGTATATTGGGTACCCAAACAGAGAAAGAAATAAAATTCATCCTCCTGATTATAATATTGCTAAGAACTAAGGAATAGAAATGACTTATAATTCAAAGCAAGTTCCCTTTCTCTGAATAACAACACAAATACATTTAGCAGTGAAAGAACAAATAAGGCTTTCTTAAGTAATTAGAATCTGGAAAAAGTCCCCCACCCAGAACAGAAAACTCACTGAAAAGCATTCCTCAATTAAAATATTCATAATTAAGCAGAAAAAAAAAAAAAAAAAAGAATGCCAACTTCAAAAATTTAGTACAAAAGCGCTAACAATCTAAACGTGAGGAATGTCTTACAAATTAATTTAAAAACAGAAATCTA